GCCGGGGGCTGCCACTAAGTTAAAAGTTTACGTTCCTTTGAAGACATTTCACACCTGTCCGTGCTTCTATCCTCAGGATACTAAAATCCTTCTCCTCCACGCCACAACCCCCTACCGGGCTGGGCAGGCAACTTTATCTCATGCGGGCTGCTCCCTTGGAGCGGCACCGCTGCTCCCGAGGGAGCGCACCCCGTAGCCGGGTGCAGTGAGTGCCTTGGGGCTGGGTGGCCTGTCCTCTGGACGGGCTCAGCCCCGGCGACTCACTAGGGTGCCTGCCCAGACCAATGTCTCCCCCTAATTCCTATCATCCTTCCGGCTCTGCAATGGTCTTGTCGACCGAAAGGGCCTAACCCAACAAAACAAACAAATGAAGACATTTCCAACGCCAGCTTCTATCCGTGTGAGTTACCCATCTCCCTTTCCAAACAGGCAGATGCTTTTTGACCGATTCCCCGACCATTTGGAAGTGTTTAGCCTTTTACCGCTCATTATCGAACCTTTCAGAGCATCAGATAAGCTAAACGATAGTTTCCAGGCCTGCGCGCGCCGTGCCCGCCGTTCCCGCCGTCGATACGGTCTAAATTGGCCTGCTATCGGCCCGTTCATCGGGCCGGTGGACGCCCTATCGACGTGTTTACCCGTTGATGGCAGAGTGGCGTGCGTTGCGACTTTTCGGGAGTTACGCGGCCGCGGACCGGCCTGGGGCGAGACCCAGTGGGAACCCGGCCTTACGGCGCCCCACGGCGGTCTTACACCGGGTTTGGCCATCCCATACCCGCCTCCGTGCCGGATTTGTAGATAAAGCAGCGGGTTGGGCTGTTTTATGGGGCCCCGGTGGCCAGGTTTGGTATTACACCCTCCTGTGCAGCTTGGACGGTCGGGCCGACCGGCGCCCAGGCAGGAGCCGAGTGGTGCGAAAGGCGCGCAAAAAACGTAGAGGTGACCAGCACCCGGCTATTTGGGGGATGGTATGCGCGCCTGGTCAACGCATGGGGCCAAATTAGTGGTATGAAATCCCCTTCCAACCGTGTAACGATGTGTATATTTGAACGGGGAAAACACAGGACGATAATTAATTTTGTCTATTCCCTCCTTGACCGGTGAACAAAACACAAATGACCGATTTGTCAGACGTGTACTTGGAATGGTCGTTAGCCTACCGGTTACTTTTTACAGTGTGCACGCACACTGCGACAGCCGTGGTGAATCAACAAGCACAATTATGGTAATGGTCGTTGACCACTGACAGCGCCATTACTTATTATACATCAATGTATGGACTGCCCTACACGACACACGACAATTTGTGCTACATAGTATGTCATGAGAGCAGCTCACACCAATTTTTAAATCAACCACCGCTAAAACTTTTGAATTTTGATGATGAGCTTCTTATTAATTGCTACAAAAAATCAGCTCGATATAACTCAGGCAATGCACAGACCCACTGTTTTTAAAGATGTCACATTCCTCTTGTCCAAAAGCCAGCAAACGCTCTGACTTGTCATTAAAAGCATAATATCAACTTAAGACATTCTCATCGCTCTTCAACTCCCGCGTCCATCTCTCTCCTCGGACAGGCCGTGACCGTCTTGTCACTCACCTTACCGATATTCTGTTGGCATTTTTATTTGCATTAGGATACATGATGCCACGATATACTAATATGGTCAATCAAGCGTTTTTGCTGTCCCCCGCACACATATCTCTCCAGCCCCTCCTCTCGCGCATAATACATCCCGCAGTGGCCAGTCCGGAGTGACCATTGCGGCGTGGCCTCGCTAGCGCCGGTCTACCTATAAGCACGCTGAATTCTCCCGACTGACCGTTCACACAATCACAGGTTAGGTAAATGGCCGCTGGATGGCGCCGGCATTACACTCTGTGCACGGACACACTGCTATGAGCGAGCCGAGAGCTGTGCACTGTTGACTGTGTACTGTGCAGTGTGCAGATAGCATTTGCACGTAGTGAAGTCAGCCGTAACCCCCTTCTGTGCACAGCACACACGCACCCCAGGAGGACCCAAAACCAAATGGCTTCCTACTATGGTGTGCAATGTGCATGCGATCTGAGCGAATTACAAAAAAAGGCTCATTGCAGATGAACTGCTGTTATCACTGCGTCAGTTGCCTTGACGATAATCAAGTGCATTTTCCGAAAATCTCACTACAGTTCTTAGTTAGATTTAAGATGATGAAGGGTCGTAACCATCATCCCACTCAGTCGGAAGACGGAAAGCATGAAGAAACCGTTATTTCTCGCGAGAGGAATTAACGTTGCTATCATGTTTGTCTGCTTGAGCTGTTAACTTACACACTAAAGCGGACTTGACTGTGTCGCGATTCTCAAGGTATGTTGCTTTTTAACGGAACGCTCCTTTTGCATGTCGGAGACAAGAGACCCGCACATTTGGCATTGTGTGAGCAATGATGAGTAATTTCAGCAAGGTTTATTATGTTTAATGATGGATATTGCTGTTGAGCATGAGGTACCACATATATGGCCTTGGATACGTCATTCCAAAGACTTAAACTATTTCCTTGATGAGGGTAGAGGAGAAGAGAGAGAGAGAGAGAGAAGAGAGAGAGAGAGAGAGAGAGAGGAGAGAGAGAGAGAGAAGCAGAGAGAGAGAGAGAGAGAGAGAGAGAGAGAGAGACAAAGAGACGAGAGAGAGAACAGAGAGAGAGAGACAGAGAGAGAGAGAGAGAGAGAGACAAAGAGACAGAGAGAGAAGAGAGGAGAGAGAGAGAGAGGAGAGAGAGAGAAGAGAGAGAGAGAGAGAGAAGAGAGAGAGAGAGAGAGAGAGAGATAGGAGAGAGATAGAGAGAGAGAGAGAGAGAGAGAGAGAGAGAGAGAGAGAGAGAGAGAGAGAGAGACGAAAGTAATCAGCTTAGTGCTTAGTGGTCGATCAGGAGCAGAGCTCTGATCAATGCCTGTTTTATGAAGCCACAAATGTATTATTGTTTGAACAGAGAGATCACCCATCGACCGTCATCCCTGGATGCCCGTAACGGGCAGTTCTGAGTCCGTTCACGTCATCAGGTAATGGTTAATGCCGCGCCCAGATATTAGAGAATGACGTCATGTGCTGCCTCTAGTGACGTCATATTTCACCTCGAGTGACGTCATATTCCACCTAGAGTGACGTCATTACCATCTAGCTGCCACGAAACTGGCCTCTTCCATACTGGGTCACAGCAGTCGAGCTATCGGTTCCTGTCATGGCGATTGGCGGCTGATCAGTGATGGCACGGGGCTTGGGCTTTCCCGAGAGAAAGGTGAGAGTCGAAGAACATCGACCTGATGATGTCATGCGTCCACCCGTTCTATACTGTTGTATTGTTGGGTGGGTGGAGCACAGCCTTACACGGTGGCAGATGCATTCGATAGGCAACACCACAGCGTAATTGTACACTCCCAAGAAGTTAACGTCGTTGTGAGATTTGCAAGTGAATGCTGATTCACTGACTCAAGCCGAAATTCCACAAAGTGAATGTTAGAAATGTGTGCTTCGTCACTCGTCAGTGCCAAGCCTCAAGTGAGTTCCAAAATGCAGAGTCGCTATAAGCTAGGGGACTCTGGGATCGACTTATGTTATATTAAGCACATTTATCACATTCATGTGCTAATGAATTAAGCACATTTATCACATTCATGTGCTTAAAAAGTCCGCCCACGCCGCCCACGCCACCGTCGGGGTTACTCCCAAAAAGGCTTATTGCGGCGCCGTCGATTGACGCAGGACGGTGAAATTTTGACGGCTCGTGGGTCACGTAATTGAACAGGTCGTATTAAATTTGGGGTATAAAAATTTAGGGGTATGCATACCTTTACATGACGGTAAGGTCACGATTTTACAATGTCAGGATTTCGTAAAGAATAAATGAAAACAAATAGCGATTCCGTTGGATGGCTTCGATACCGCGTACCCACTTGCTTGAGCAAAGTATTCTCAAAATAAAATAAGCCTAGTTCTTTTCCCTACATTTATATCGGGAAATGAAATCCTTTCATATCTCATTACCTTTAAACCACTTGTGACAGTTCATATTTCACCGACAAAAAGAGATACGCGGGTTCGTTTTATCACTTGTCAGCCATGGCTTATGCTGGCCCCTCGCTGGTGTTATGTTCCTGTCCTTCGATGCAGTCTCCACTGGGCGGGGACGCTTGGCGAGCTTAATTATAGCCGCCCTTCACTGTCTTAGAGTAGCGTGGACGTCACTTCATTGGAAAGCTATAGTTTTTGAAAAGCATACTTCTAAATCATTGTTGTTTATATGCGAAGCATTTAAATCATTTAACGAAATATTCAGCTAGTGTCGAAAGATAAATAAAAGGATTCCAAGAAGCAATAAGATGACAAGCATTACAAGAGCACTAAGAGCGCTAAGAACATGTTGCAAAATAGTCTAGTACCCCCCCCCCCCAAAAAAAAAAAACTGAGATTAGGCCTACACTGACACCTAATCACACCGATATAATGACACTGAAAGCCCCCCCCCCCCCCCCCATCCATACCATCAACAATCACGCCTCACTGAGCACAGACAACACCCCCTCCCCCCACCACCCCATCCCCATCGTCACGACCTGCCACCGTCCCGCTACAGCCGCCCGGTGACCCGTCACTGACCCTGACCTCACCAGTTCCTGGTTCACTGATCGCCAGTGCTCTCCTCTCTGACCCAACCGGATTGAGCCACAACTGGCGTCTGAAAATTTGCATCCATCCCCTCCGATGTTTACTTGGATTTGCAGCATGCGTGTGCGTTTCGGAGACCGGTTTTGGAGGCGTTTTCCGGTTAAGGCTGTCTTCTGAGAGTTCCCAAACATCGTTGGTGATTCCGAGACTCCAAGGTTAATTTGCCGAAGCACCTGTCTGGGAAGCCGCTGCGCAGGTGACTCTATAATCGGGCACGAGGCCAATCTACTCAGCATGCAGCGCTGTCCGAATAGCGAATAACTCTCGTGAGAGGCGTCGTCAGCGGTGGGAAATCCTGTTTGGACCGAGGGCATATTTAGAGGGTGGCCTCGGCGGCTAGCCAGACCGTGCTCAGCCGTGCCGCGATGAAGACGTGCCGAGTCGTGCTGTTCGCCGTGCTGGCGGCTGTGGCCGTGGTGCCGGCCACCACCCAGGAGTTGGTCTCCTCCCTCTGTCTCGGCTGCATCTGCGAGGCCTCCAGCGCGTGCAACACGCAGCTCGGCTGCGAGAACGGCTTCTGCGGGCCCTTCCGCATCTCGAACGCGTTCTTCATCGACTCGGAGCTCTCCAAGGAGCCCAACTTTGCCCAGTACAACTTCCAGTCGTGCACGACCGACCCCTTCTGCTCGGCGGCTGTCATCCGCAAGTACATGGCCAAGTACCCGCGGGATTGCGATGGGGATGGCCAGTTTACTTGCAAGGACTACGCCATGGTGCACAAGGCCGGTCCTGACGGATGTACCAACACTCAGCGAGTGAGGGTGACTGACTACTGGCGCCGCTTCGAGTCTTGCCTCTCCTACTTTCCCAACGCTTAGGAGCGATGAGTGATCCTTGCAGGACACCCAGAGGTTCATCATGCTTGAAACACTTGGTGAGACACTTTGTGGGACTTTCTTCAGGACGCTGCAGCAAGGAATTTAATGGAGAGATGTTGGAAAAATACTGGACGGAGCCTGGTGTCTGGGAGGAGTTGGAGAAAGTCGTGACAGAACTTTCGAAGGAAATAGAAAGCTTGGCAGGGGGCACCACGAAGAGGTTGGACCGCTGAACAATACGACGCCATGACTATACCAAGATTGACATCACTACTGTTGAGTTCAAGCAGCCGTGGATCGAAAAGGGCAAGGTCTCCCCCTGCGTCGTCTTGGGCTTTTAACTCGGCTGTTTTGGCCTTCAATGGAGGCTCGAGTTGCGCTGTTAGGCCACTCTTTTCTATGGGGCTAGAGCACCTGATGTGGCCTGTGTTGTTTGCATGACTTGCGCCGCTCTTCGACAGGGCAGCTCAGTCGATGTTGCATACTCATGTTGTTTCCGTGTGTGCAGAGGTGTTGTTATAGCCATGGATATAATAAACGTGATACGACAATAAAACAGAAATGAAATAAACGTTCTTTATAGTAAAAAGCGCACAGATATTGCTTTTAAATCGGAGCCGTTTATAGTGGAATTGGAAAACAGAGTCTTTTAGAACTTTTTGGGGGAGGGGGCATTTTTGTTTCTGTGCAAACGGCCGGGCTACGTCTACTCGAGGATGATGGCGATAAAAATTACATCTGGTTGTGAATGAAAAGCCCATTGCAATGCGAGTTAATTAAGAATGTTAACAGCATCGAGTAGGAATATCAAATATAAAATAGCGTACGTTACCTACATAATGTCCAACACGCATATTTCGACGTCTCTGATGACCTCGTGTTTGGTATTTGTACCTATGTATTATAATTATTGCGGTTTCAAATTATATTTTTTATTCATTAGAGAACAGCACCACGACTATGACTGGAAAGTCTGGCAACGTATTTACATACAGGTGTGATGTGATTGCAGCCTTCAAACAAGTCTGACGCGATGTCGGAAACATAAAACGATTCTTATTCTGCGAAAAATAGGCATTGAAGACAATATTTCAAATCTATAAAACAGCTATTTTATGTTGTTATATAGTTTTTTAATGTCTTTTTAATACTGCTAAAATCGACAAGACCATGCTCTTACAGTAAGAACAACACCAATCCCGCATAAAATGTATGCGGAAACTTGTCCTACCAATGCCGGATCTGAATTCCATCCATCGGAATTTCAAACGCTCTTTTGCCTAGAACAATTTAGAAGTGCAAATCCGATCACCAACTACCCAGAATACAACTACCCACACCGGAAATGTCAGTCAATAATGACATCGATTGATGCGTCATAATGGAATAATGAGCCAAGATGACTGTGCCAGCCTTCTACGTAGGCATGCCCTTGGCCGCAGCTATTAAAGCTGACAGAACGGCTGCTGTGCCGGCCGCCACCCGCCGTCAAGGCTAAAGATGACGTCATTGCAGGCGGACAGTGACGTCACTGCAGAGGAACAATGACGTCACTAGGAACTGACAACTACATCACACCCTGCGGAGTTTAGCACAGGTTAGGAATACCTAGAGGGTAAGGTAGATATAGGTCCGTACTTACATAGGTCCGATTTGCATAGCTTAATGTCAAGTCTCATTTTCAATCCTAAAACTGTCGTTCATCCCACGTTACTTCATTTCCTCTTTTCTTTTCTCGTTCAAATGGGTCTACTCCACTTCATCGCTTATAAGCTGGCTCTCGTTTTCATTCACTCTATCTAACATAAAATAAACACACACGGTGCAAATAGTCCGGAAGGTCCGAAACACCTATACTCAACAAAAGAAAGGATGAAAGAAGGAAAGACACTGGCGCACTTTAATTGTATATTTCAGCCACTCTTATGTTATTTATCATGAAGCTGCAAGGATTATATCACCATTTTCTTTCAACTATGTACTGAATCCTAGGCATATCTCAGTTCAAATTGAATCATGTTAGATTATTGTTTATGTGATCTCGAGTGCATTTACAAAGATCTGGTGGCCTGGGATCTGAGCCCATGTTTATCATGGCACGGGTACCTCAATTCTCAAGCCACACCCCAGGACATAAGAGGACATATCATGTTCGGTTGGAAGCCAGAAATCCCCGCGCTGCACCCTTCTCGGAAGAACTTGGCTTACATTTGACGGCCTGGAATCTCAGTAACACCGCACCAGGCAACTCCCTGAGTGAGCTTATGGCATGTCCAGTGTCCAGTGTGCACTAATCGATAAACAAATGACAGCAGTCGGGCTCGTCGAGCCGGCAGCCGCACCCAGTCTCGTCCTGGCGATCGTGGAGTCAGCGGCGGAACCATGAAGCTGCCGCTTCTCCTGTTGGTGGTGTGGAGCGCAGCGCTGACGCCCGTCCTCTGTGCCTTCACCGCTTCGGTGAAAGACATCGTCGACGGCCTGGCAGACACCTTTCTGGAGCGAGTAGGACCAGTCTCAAGGACAGAGCTCAGGGATCAGCTGCAGCACGTCAGTATCACGACAACAGAGCTCAGGGATCAGCTGCAGCAAATTGAGCAGAAAATAACCGACCTCCAGGCACGCCAGACAGCGGATCAACAGCAACTTCAGCAACAGCTGGAAGAAATTCAACGTCAGCTACCTCCTCCGACACGAACCCCCGGAGCTTGCCCTGCCAACTGGATTCGCAGAGGAAACAGCTGCTACCTGATATCGCCCACCAAAGCCACCTGGCTGGAGGCACATCAGGGCTGTGCGTCCTACGACCCCAGGGCGAGATTAGCGTCCATCCACAACAGCAACAAGGACCACATTCTTAGCCTGCCGAGCGACAGTGAAGAGGAGGACGTTTGGATAGGGCTGTTCAGACGGTTTGGTGGCAACTCCTGGGCCTGGGTAGACGGTACACCGGTGGATTATACCAGCTGGAAAAATGGAGAGCCCAATAACAGATGGGGGAAAGAGGATTGTGTGACACTGTATAAACTGATTATACCCGGAAAGTGGAACGACCGGGTGTGCACGGGTCAGTACCCTTTTCTGTGCCAAATCGTACTGAATTGAGATTGAGTGATTTTCTTGACTAAAGTCTGAACGTGCATCCAGATGGCTAGTACCGCGGTTGCCGGAACTAAAAAAGAGAATGTTTTAAAAGCGCGCTCCGCACGAGTGTTTCAAAACTTGTCGTCACTATTCGCAAAAAAACGTAGGGGTTGCATCAACCCTCTGACCGGTTGAGGGTTATGTTACCGGAGTGCTTATGCTAAGGAGACCATTGGCGGATCCAGCCAACCGTTTGTGGGGGGGGGGGGGATGGCCGAAATGGCCCCTTTCTTTCCATGAACCACCATAGGAGTAATGTTAAAACTCGAGTCTTGGGGAGGGGGCGGGGGCAAACGGGCCTGAGGGGCATTGCCTTGAATGCTCCCCCCCCCCCCCTGGATCCGCCAGTGAAGGAGACGAGTAGCTATTCGTAGTTTCCCGACCGGTACTATTGCGCAAGTGCTATATGCTTGGGTCGCAAGGTGCATTTGTGTTTCTCAAGCAAAGGGCGAGCGGGATGTGTAACCAGAATGAGGTTAAACAAATACAAACTAGGCTTTCGTAGAATAAGGACGAGTTTTACACGCTGCCAGCTGCCAGTTAACAAAGTGTGCAACACAAATGTATTTCAATATGTATTTGGAGTTGTAATACAGTTATACCTGTACCTGTAATGGGTCAATTCTTTAACCGACACCGGGCCAGGGGGAGGGTTTGAAGTTTGAACAACCCCTTGCAATTTTCGCAGATACCTTAATGCATATGTTCCGCACATGTTGTAAAAATTTCAGACCCAGGTCTCTCAAGGTTAGGTCACCAGGTCACGTCAAGTGACCTCACCTCAGGAAAAGTTAGAATCCTCACCATAGCTACACAGACTAAACGATCGCCTTGAAACTTTCAGCGATGATAAGAGTAACAGTATATAAAAAATGTTTATATCGGAATTTTTATATCGGTGACCTAAGGTCAGGTCAATTTTGCGACCACTCCATTATAAGTCAATGGGATAAAATTGAAAGGCACCTTTTCCGGATGAAGGTCATTCCAAACACCCTCAAACATTGGGTTACAGTAAAATTGACAAAATGAACCGGAAAATGGCACCCGTGACCTCTCCTTATGTCCCTGAGGTCATATCAGGTCATGAAAGATCCCTGGCAGTTTTTGACAAAAACTTTTGATAGAGACATGCTAGAGCGATAAAGACACCTCAGATCTGTTCAACTCGACGATACGGATCGACTGATATGTAGCATGACCTTTTCCAATCAGGTCATGACCTTGACCTGAAGTCAAATTTTCAAAACGACTTTTCAAGGTTAACTTATAGTTCATTCGACGCGTCTCGACGAGAAGAACACGATGTTGGCAAAAGTGATGTCGTGGCTCTCTTGGGTTAAGAGTCGTTAACGAAAAGCAGTTTTTTTTAAACGGCCCTATTTATTTTTTTTTTGCCCTCTGGACTCTGGAGGCTAAACCGTTGACCTGAGGTCAAATCTGAGGACATTTTTACGCAAAAGTGTTGCCAAAAAGCTATCGACTGCGAATGCGGTGTTTCGAAAATTGTTGAAATGGCAAAATCTGACCTTTAATGACCTCTGGCGACCTGACCTTTGACCTGACCAAATAATTGACCGAAGTATTATCTTCATTATTTTCCACGCTCATTCGAATGCCGCTTACCGCGTGTCGCTACGTGGCCCAGGAGCCAAGTTAGACGGGGCGTGTTCAGACTCCCGGCCCGGCGCGGTTGGCGCCGAGCACCGGGGCCCGGAGAAACAGAAAGTAGGTACTAGCTCGTCAGTCGTCAGCTTCAGCGTCTGCGACCAGTATAACGCCTTTTGGGGCGACTAACGGAGCGAGCGAGAGGGTGGGCCTTGCACGTGCGAAATTTCGAGGGGGTACCTCCAGCTGACTTGTGCACGGCACCCTACTAACCGGTCTCTAGCGACGTACCAAATTTGAGCACAATCGGCCCAGCCATTCTTGAGATCTGGAAGCGGCACCCTGCACGTGCGCACGTGCAAAATGGGTCCCAACTGACTTTTGCACGGCACCCTACTAACCGGTCCCTAGCCATGTACCAAATTTGAGCGCCATCGGTCCAGCCGTTCTCGAGATCTGGAATCGACCCCTGCACGTGCGCACGTGCAGCAGCACCCCAATTCCGGCACATGGATATGCATTGCCTAGTGGGTGCCTACCTGCATGCCAACTTTCAGCGCAATCGGCCAAGTAGTTTCCGAGATATTGCAACAATTACAAAAGTTACACCTCTTCGTTTTGCACGTGGCACGTGCATAAGGGGTCACCCACATGCATCGGGAATAGTCCAATACTTGGTAGAAGGAATGAAGCTACCCTACAAAAATTATCGCATGTAAATCGGTCAAGTGGTTGCTGAGATATAAGCGTCGCAAAACCGTGACCACGGCCGGCCGCTCATACTCAGAAATTTCCGTTATTCTACGTAAGACTCCGCTCGCTTCGCTCGCTCCGTAATGACCATTCCTCGACCATTGTGCAGCCTTATTCGGTCTAGACCGGGGGCAGATCCAGAATTTTCTTCGGCCAGGGACCAATGGTATGATATGGGGGGGGGGGGGCGGCATGTTTTCTCCGTAACAGGGGCGCCTTTAGTGAAAATTGAAGACAGTTTTCTCTCCCTTCCTGGGCTTCCTCTGATGTTGTTTGTGGTTATGGGCATGTTCTGATGTTCATCGTATAGCTACGCAGGGCGTAGCTCCCGAACCGTAGCTCCGCAGGGCGGCGCATCTTTTCGGCTTTTTTCGGCCCCTAAAGCCACTCCCCTGGATCCGCCACCGGATTTAACATTGATAACTCGTCAACATGAGCTACCCGTATTCATGTGCATGGAACATAGCTTTGAGCAGCTTTGGCTTATGCCTGGGGTGATCCAAGTGATCCTAATGCTACACATTAATATTTACGTTTTAACGGAGCGTGTTAGAATGCAGTCGCTGAGGGTTGATTTGGTTGATCGATCACTCTGGAAGTCGATCTGGATCTGATCACTGTGCTTATCTAGCGAAAACGACACCGTATTTACAGTTATGCAGGATTTCTCCCTCCTCCAGCCAGCTTTTCTATCTGCTCGTCTGCTTGTCATCTCCCTCTCTCTCTCTCTCTCTCTCTCTCTCTCTCTCTCGCTCTCTCTCTCTCTCTCTCTCGCTCTCTCTCTCTTTCCCTCTCTCTCTCTCTCGCTCTCTCTCTCTCTCTCGCTCTCTCTCTCTCTCTCTTTCCCTCTCTCTCTCGCTCTCTCTCTCTCTCTCTCTCTCTCTCTCTCTCTCGCTCTCTCTCTCTCTCTCTCTCTCTCTCTCTTTCCCTCTCTCTCTCTCTCTCTCTCGCTCTCTCTCTCTCTCTCTCTCTCTCTCTCGCTCTCTCTTTCCCTCTCTCTCTCTCTTTCCCTCTCTCTCTCTCTCTCACTCTCTCTCTCTCTCTCTCTCTCTCTCTCTCTCTCTCTCTCTCTCTCTCTCTCTCTCTCTCTCTCTCTCCATGAGTTATCCTCCCGCCAGCCTTGCCCTCACGTCTCTGGGAGCGGCGTGCAGCTAGCGTTCTCATCACACTCGTTAGCGCCCAGGCGTATGTTTGCGCTCCCACGGCCGAACAGCGCGTGCCATGGTCCTCTCGACGACACGGCAAGGGCGCGTCCAGGCACCGTGACACGGGGGGATTCGCGGCGGTGCGGATCTATCGGGAAATTACTGATTTTGGAAGGAGCAAAGGAGCTAGGAATAAAGTTTGAGAGAAGCTAACAGATTGCCTAATGCCTATCTGACTAGCCGGGGATTTGATATGGGCTGAATGAAGGGCTGCGCCTACCACAGCATTCAAGATAATTTTCTTGGCAAAATTATGTGAAGACTGAAGATCGCTTTTCAACCAATTTTATCCGCTCTTGCCATACGAGTAATTACGTTTACTCCTACCAGCAACCAATAACTATGTATGTATAGCTCCGCCTCTGCTGCATATATGCACATTTCAAGGGGGTGCTGCATTGCTGCAACAGGCGCTGTATCAACAAACAGACCGCATGTGCGGCCGTGTGACCACGACGTACGATGGGAACGGGGGTCAGCTGCTAAACAGAGGCTGACGGGGCTCCCACGGTGGTTTAGCGGACCGGGAGGGATCATATTACTGTGGGAAGGAGGGCAACGCAGTGCTCGAGTGCAACGCCTTTGATATCTATCCATCCAGAGAAATTAGACAGTTAAAATTACAGGCATCGGGAGGTCTATGATCAATACTCAATAGATTATCAAAAGGATGCCCGAGTGTTTCATAAAGGAAGCATTATAAACCAACATTATTAATCAACCATTATATGCAACTTTTTCGTTTACCTACAGCGCTTGAGTGATACCGACACTTCACTTTCAGAGCAAAAAAAAAAAAGCAGTTAATGGCCATTTCGTCACAATTAGGTATACCTAATTACAAACACAGCACCGGAAATGCCACACATTCCACATAAAATCAGCTCTATCATTGATGGCATCTACAATGGACAGCTTCCGGACCTGCCCCCCTCAAAGAACGTTATGCCCTCCACGTGTGTGGTCTGAGCTCCTGAGTGGGACGCGACAGCCGAAAATTGCGCGGAAGCCGACGCTTACCGACTGGCGACTTATCGACTGGGACGTTTATGTTAGACGGAATGAGGTGGCATGACAGTGTGAATGGGGAGACGTGCCAACAGTCAGGGCAAGGACATCATCCAACCGGCAAATTCGATGTCATAATAATGAAACATGCCGAAAAAAGGCTTTTATTTTCAATAAAATACCTTTCGTGAAAAAATTGCGACCCTCTCGTTTTCGGCATAAATACCGCATCGCTTCCTAGTTCCTGGAGGCAAGGTCTACTCAAAGTCAAGCATTCTGGCGTTAAAATAGGCTGTACCAAAGACGGCAATTCTGTGTTAAAACCCGACTGAAATGAAGCACACGGTGACAAATAGAAATGACCAATAAATGTCCTTGGAAGATGGACTTAGTGCTCACTCACGAATTTCGCAAATCCGCATTTATACATGCGGCCTCGCATATATGTCACGTAAGTGGTTTCTGAACAAGGGTTCGTCATTTGAAACGAGCCAAGACGAGCTGCTAATCTTGCAAAACATGCGACAAAGACTTCCGCCAAAGTTCCAGAAAGGAGGCATCATGTCCTTCATTGTGGTTCACTGGTATTCGGCTCAAACCTCAACAGAAGCAAGTCAAAGGGTTTTGGCGACTGGCCAAACAATGAAAAAAATAAAATACGCAGTTGTGGAAAACTCGTCCGTGGAGATACCGTCGTAACAAAAGATATTTAAAATACTAGGAGGGCCTCTTCTAAATCATCTCCAAAAATTAGGGTTAGCGTTCAGCTCACGAGACCTGAGACGGTCAAAGCAGTACCCAGACACCTGTACCTGTGTTCGTCTAACAGACACTGTGAAGCGTCGATGCCGGTTTATACCCCAGTGTTGGCCCCTGCAGGGATCCCGTGTCTGCTCAGGACGGGCTGCGTATATCACTGAACATTTTATGACCATGTATCACCTCTGACAGCCACTGTTCATCTCATCTACCTCAGTTGACGTCATCAGTGGATCACGCGGGCGTATACCGGCCAGAATACTAATTCTGCAATCAATATC